TCATTTATATTAGTAATAGTTACTCGCATTATGATATAAGAATAAAATCTCCTATATATTTAGTTTAGCTTTTGTATTTATATATATAGTTTAGCTTTATATGTTTATATTATAATCAATATTAAATGATAATAAAATGAAAGGCAAGATCCTCTTGTAAGGAAAAAAAAGATATTTATTTTTTATACTAGTTTATTAAAAGATAATTATTTTTTATACTAGTTGATTACAAAAATATTTATTTTTTATATTAGTTTATTACAAAGATATTTATTTTTTACATTAGTTTATTGCAAAGATATTTATCTTTTATGTTAGTTTATTGCAAAGATTTTTATTTTTTATATTAGTTTATTGCAAAAAAATTATTTTTTACATTAGTTTATTGCAAAATTATTTATTTTATCTACTAATTTATTGCAAAAATATTTATCTTTTATGCTAGTTTATTGCAAAAATGTTTTATACTAGTTTATTGCAAAATTAATATTATTTACTATGATTTGAAAAATTAACCTAAAAAGTATTAATATTATCAATTTAATAAAATTTGAAATTTGTTTTTTATAAATCTTTTTATTATATAATTTGCTCATAATATCAATCAAAAATCAAATAAAAAAATTGTAAAGATAGACTCTTTTAATACGAAACACTATATAAGTTCTGTCAAAAGAAAACCAAACATACAATTAAATTTAAATTTATATGTAAACTTATTAGATTTCAGAGCTAAGTTCAATAAAGTTATAAGCTTAAATTGCCAAAGTCTGTTTTGCCTTGGTAGCTCCAATATACAACGATCAATATTAATTATAAGCAAGCTTTAATCTCGATTGAAATTATTAGAAAAAATATATTTTTTTTTTTTTTTATAATAAACACATTAAACCTCTAAACCATGTCATATCATTATTACCAACAATCCAGCATTTAAATTGGCATGAAAATTATAAAACAGAAAAGCAAAAAAATGCTAAATATTATATAGGAAGTTACTATAACAATAAGGTTTTATCGCTATATGCATTATATCATCTTAATTCCACGAATAATAGTCTTCAACGCTCTAGTATACTTTTCGTTTTTTTTGTAATCTGCCCGATTATCTGAGGCCTCACCATCTGTTTCTTTAGATGACTCACCATTCTTATCTGCAGCTTTTAAAAGATATACGAAATCACATAAAGTCGTGATTGATACATTTGAACTATTTGCAGTTAAAACATCCTGCAATTTTGATGTTTGTTCAAATTTAGCGGCAACCACTTCAGCACGATCGACGATCTGTCTAGGAACACCAGCCATATTGGCCACATTCATCCCATAAGATTTAGGACATACTCCAGGAACTAACTTATACAAGAAAGTCACCTCTCTACGATCTTGGTCAACATGACAACTCATATGCTTAAGTGCGATGTTGGGATTTTTAGCAAATTCTTGTGTAAGCATGCCATAGTGTGTAGAAAATAGACCAAGACAACCTATATGTGTCGTTAAGTAATATAAAACCGAATATGCAATAGCATAACCATCAAAAGTAGACGTGCCCCGTCCCAGTTCATCAAGAATAACCATAGACCTAGGTGTAGCATCGTGAATAATTTTCGAGGTTTCGCTTAGCTCTACCATGAAAGTACTTTGACCTGCAAGAATATTATCATTAGCACCAATACGCGTATATATTCTATCAAAGGGCGTCATACGACAACTTTTTGCAGGAACATAGCAACCAAGCTGTGCCATGATAATTGCCACACAATTCTAATATCAAAAACTATGTCAGAACTCACCAAATATTAGATCAAAAAAAATATATATTTCTGTAAAGTTCAAACCTGACGCAAAAGTGTGGATTTCCCACCCATGTTTGGACCCGTAAGTAATATCATATTTGGCTGATCACCACCAAGGAATGTATCATTTGGTATGAAATCGAGAGCGGCACTTATATTAAAAAAAAAAAAAAAAAAAATCGATAATTAGAGATTTATAAATAATAACAATAAAGTAGCCGTAAAATTAAACACATACCCTGAAATAAAACAAGGATGTCTAAGCTCTTCGAATTCTAAGATGCTTTGCTCCTGTAACACAAATTGGGGACGACAACGAGGTTCTAAATAAAATTAATAAACATTTAAATTTAAACATTAAGTAATCGTCCACAAGATAATTGAAATCAAACTTAAAGTTTTATAACTTACCACCCAATGCCAATGAACTTTTAGCCAAACTTAACAAACAATCAATTTCACCAACAATTTTGACAGCAAGTAACCAATTACGATAATTTGCATCAAATTTTTGATAAAAACGGCCTTGTAAAGATTTCAATATATTAGATTGAGTTTCTTTTGCTTCTTGAAAATCTCTAACAAATTTTTGAAGAGTTGGATTCCAATAACGATTGACTTTCTAAAGAATAAAATAAAGTAAGCAAAACAAAATAATTTAATTAAAATGACTGTCGTCAAATCTCATTCTTTGTGTTCACCTGTGTGCGTGATAATTTTTGCCAATTATCTGGTACTTTTATTGTATTCGGAACCTCAAGTTGAAAAATTTCTTTCCCGATATCTTTATAAATAATGCTCTTCGTTCTACACAAATATAGGATTTTTATTAAATTCGGATAATATTTCAGCAAATTAATAAAGTTTATTTATTACTCCTACTTTAATTGCACCTTTGCCTCTTCTAAATGATC